TGTGCACTGTTCCCATGAAATAGTTAAAATATTATTTCTGCTAAAATAAAAACAATGATGCATTCAGAATTTGTATCTTACTGCTGTTTGAATAAACATTTTATATTATTGGTTTAGTGTTCTGACATACAATGCAAGGACATAGCATCTGGTTCATTTTAACCCATAAGTGTCTGTACAGCATATTATAATTATATTTTAAAATTATTGTAGGGGAGAAGAGGATCTTAAATCCAAAATTTTTTAAAGAAACTGATTGTGGAATTCTTTATTTATGTCCTCAAAATAATACCTCAGAAGATGACACACAATCAGGCATGGTGGCTCATGCCTGTAATTCCAGCACTTTGGAGAAGCTGAGGTGGAAAGATTACTTGAGGCCAGGAGTTCAACACCAGCCTGGGCAACACAGAGAAACCCCGTCTCTGCAAAGAAAATTAAAAAAATTAGCTGGATATGGTGTTGTACCCATATAGTCCCAGCTACTTGAGAGGCTGAGGTGGAAGGATAGCTTAAGCCCAAGAGGTCAAAGCTGCAGTGATCATGCCACTGCACTACAGCCTGGGTGACAGAGCAAGATCCCATCTCAAGAAAACAAACCAAAAAAGATGACACTTTAATGGTTATTCTGGTATCATCTAGGGATGAACACACATATACACAAATTTTAAGTAGATGATATTTCCCTAAGAGATATTCCTTAAAATAGTTGTCCCATATACATTCTTTTGAATAATGTGTTATGTTTAAATGTTCCTTTTCAGATTTACATTTGAATTTATTGATGCTTATCTAGCCTTTCCTTAAAGAACATGGATCACATATCCAGAAAGAAACATTGATGAGGAGTAAGCTCCAACATCATGCATGACCTTGCCCTAAAATACTCAGTCTTTCTGATGAAGTTTACCTTAAGAAAGTGAAAAATACTTTCAAAAGTAATATTTTTAACAATTAATGTGATTTTGGGGGACAATTTTGAAAAACGTGCTTTCTTTAGCAGCTGAAAATGGAAAACACAGGCTGAAATTAAGGCTATGACCATTTGTCATAATGCAGGCCACACATGGTCACAGCATTTTAAGTGGAAATATACTATGTTTGGTAATCTTTCTGTTTTTTAGAGGTCTTTGTATTACTTTTACAATAAAAGAAAGAATAATAGAAGCCCAAAAAGTAGCAGTTTTTAAAAGCACAAAATTTCTATCTTCTATTTGAGGATAGATAAGTGAAGCTATGTTTAATAAAGAAAAATAAAATATCAAGGAAATATGATCTTACCCAAATTTACATTTGAGTTTCTATCTCAGTTAAACAATACTTCTGTATTCATGCTAAATCCTGGCCTCGGTGCTAATATTTTACAGACTGACTTGAAACTACCAATTCTAAAAATGGAAATAGTTTAAGCAATCTCTAATTTCATAAAATACGAGAATGCCCCTTTCAAGGAAAATTTATAATGGTTGTGAGTTATGTTTGTTTTTCTTGTTACTTTTTATTGCTAAAACTCTTTCACCAAGCTAGTATTTCTTTTATGCCCAGGAGGCAAAACAGCTTGGCATTCTGTTGAATTTGTTCATCTAAATGTCAACTTTTTAAAAATGGAATGAGGATTTTGTCTTAATATTTTCATTTAAGACTACAACTATATGACCTTTAAGATCCTCTCTTACTTTATAATCTCTGATGATTTTACTATACCTTCTCTTAAAATTAATGATAAAAATCTTAACAATCATTCTTAAGTAATATACATTGTTATATTAGCCTAAAACAGAATACAAAAATATTTACATCAACTATGGCTTTCTGTAAGGATAGTACAGATCTCAGACAGTCTCCAAAGAAGTTTTCTAGTGTCTTTGAGTTGCTGCCTGAGAAAAAAGGAGCACTGAAAGACTTCTCCAGAGATTACATTCTTGAACCCAAGGCCCTTCCTCCTCCTTCTTCCCCATCTTTGTGCTACTTCGCTCTTCTGAATCTCTGAAGTGTAATACAAGACCAGCAGGACTGCATAACAATAGAGATGAGACTATCTTTGCATTTATACTAATGTAGTTTGCCAATGTACAGATGCACAGCAGTTTTTGCTTAAATTAGGTTGCTGTTTAGTTTAACTCCTTACTCTGATTCAAAAGCTGTCTCTCAAGTTCCCTTCTGGGTTTGCTGGCTCATATTTCTCCCTTTGATCCTGGGTTCACTCCGCCTTCCTCACCAGCTCCCAGAGCTACCTGTTTAGTTCCAACTAAAAGTATTCTTACTGCAGTTGCCCAATGCTGGCTCCGTGGTTCTGTATTCTCCTTAGTCTGTCCATTACTCATTAACCTTCCACTGCTCCCTAAATGGGTCTCCTTCTTCCTGGACAGCTCTAAACAGTCCTTTTGGCTCTGTTCAATGTTTAGCTTTTTATTTATTTTTTTTAGAAGTAGGGTCTTGCTTTGTCACCCAGGCTGGAGTGCAGTGACACAATCCTAGCTCACTGCAGCCTGGAATTCCTGGGCTCAAGTGATCCTCCCACCTTGGCCCCCTAAAGTGCTGGGATTACAAGGCGTGAGCCACTGCGCTGGCCTTCCATTGCTTGTATTTGCATATCCATACCTACAATTTAAAGAATGCTATCTATACAGAAATATTAGCATTCAGTATGATAAAAGAAATTAAATATGTTTTAAAATACGTGTATTTATAATGATACTTAAAAATGCTCACTAGTCACCTTTTGGAAACTGGTAACAAAAAAGAGTGTGAGGGGAGACAGAACCAAGCATTTATCATACTTTTTCCATAAGAACCATATCTCAGCATCACCAAATAGTTGATAAGGGAAGGCTTTTTGGGTTGTTTTTGTTTTAATAAGTTGCAGCTAATAAATGCAGAAGGCATAACAGAATTTACATGTCACCATTTTGCAATCCCTAATGAAATAAAGAATTTGGGCAAAGACCCTGAATGACTTCTAAACCATTAGATAAAAAAAACTTAATGAGGAATTATATAAAGAAAGGATCAAGCTGACAATACCAGAACACACTGATCAAATTTAACATTACAAGTAGGGAAACAATCATACACTCTATGCCTCATCATATAATGCAAAAGAAAATATACAACACAAACTATTAAATATTTTTATAGAAAATTGGCTACACAGGAAGCTGAGGCAGGATTGCTTGAGGCTAGGAGGAGTTCAAGGCCGCAGTGAGCTATAAATGATCACACCTGTAAATTGCCACTGTACTCCATCCTAGGAAACACAGAATGACCCAGTCTCTTAAAAAAAAAAAAAAAAAAAAAAAAAAAGAGGATTGAGCAAGATTCTTATTGAGCCCTCTATCAATTTTACAGGAAATACAGGAGACAGGATATCACAGGAAGGCAATCAGAAAAATTCAGAATGTGGGAAATTTTACAGGACAGATTATCTACTTTTTTCAACTAATTACGAGAAAAAGAAGAAAAAGGTGCATATATATCAATGGGACTTTAATGACATATTAACGTGTAATGTGCGCATTTTGGTTTCTGATTTGAAGAAATTGATTGTAAAAAACAATGATCTCTTGGGAAACAGGAAAATATGAAGACTGAGTATTTGATAATATTGAATTATTATTAATGTGAGGGTGTGATAATGGCATTGTGGTTTTTTTCTTTGAAAAAAGAATCCTTATATTTAAAAGATATATATCAAATATTCATGGATAAAGTGATATAAACTCTGGAATTTGTATAAAAATAATCCAGGACATGGGAGAAGCAAATGGGGTATACACAAAACAAGATTAGCCATGAATTTTCAATTGTCAAGGCTGGTGATGGTTACATGATACTTCATTATACTATTCTATCCACTTTTGTATATGTTTAACATTTTTCATAATAAAATGTTTTAAAGGATTTAGTAACTAATATATTTCTTTGAAGATGTAATAGGAACTCTGCTGTCAAGAGAGAAGCTGATTCCAGAAATCATAGCCTGTGATGTGGAATCTATTCTATGGGATTGTAGTGATACTCTCAATCTACCCGCTTTTCTCCTTTTCTCCCCAAACCTTCAGAAAATCTGGTACTGCCTGTTGAAATGTAGGCATTGAATGACCACTGGTTGGGAAGAAAGGTGTTTCCTAGGAGAGTGGTGGTTTATCTATTTGTTTTGGAGAATCCCCACTTTGCCCTCACCACTCTAGAGAGGAAAGTGGTGATCCACCCAGGTGAGTTCAAGCCCCTTTTAATGCCCAGTGAAGCTAACAAGTGCCCTAGGGCTACCTGTGAAATGATCTTGGAGCCACAGCCATGTCATAGGCTGGTAGTTTCTTGCTGGACTGGAGTAAGCTACTGCTATAGGAGCAAGGTTAGAGGAAACTAAGAATAATCTGCAGTCTAAATCAGGAAGTTCAAGACATGGAAAGTACAGTTCTAATCTTGACCAAAAATGAAAACGAAGTAGATTGGTGGTAAGATGCTACCATGAAGATTTCTCAGGCCCATCAGGACTAGGAGAAGAGGGTCAGGGCCATCTGATAACCAGCCTTGGTTGCAGAAAAGGGTTCAGCTCTAAGATAGAGTTGGAGTGTAGACCAGGAGTCAGGAACACACACTTTGGAGAAAGTTAGTGATTTAATGGAGAGGCTGTGATCCACGGATGATGTGGTCTTCTAGGAGTCTGATGTCACATGCAACCACACCGATCCTGGCAGTAGATACCACTCAGTAATGGTGGAGATGGAATTTGTATGCTGCTTAGTGGTGAAGACCTGTTGCTTTTCCATTGCACACTCTGCCTCCCAGCTCATTGAGCTGACTCGGCATATGGGAGAGTCCTTGAGCAAGAAGCTCTCTTCTCTCCACTTGGTGGTGTTCTCATCTTGGCATCCCTCCCAACCCCTGTTAAATGCGAATCCTTTGCTTAGGCAGCAGCAGAAGAGAGCCAACATGACACAGAAGGAAGAAGAGGGAAGAGCCAGTGGGAAAGTCTTGGACTCCGGAGGCAAACTCACCTGGCTTAAATCCTGATTTTATTTCTTCCCAGCTTGTCAGCTTCTGGCAAATTTCCTGTTTTCGGAGGGTTTGTTTTATTGTCTGTAAAATAAGCAGAGAATTATCTATTTTGGAGTATTGTCAGAAAAGTAAATGTAAAAGGGGCTATGAAACATAATATTAAAGTAAACAGGAATATCACCTCCTTTATAAACTTGTTATGGCCACTTGGGGTCCTAGGAAAAATGGCAACAAGGACTAAGGGACAGCAGAATCTTAGGAGACTTTAATAGTATTTGGCACTCCCAGGTGCTGAACCTGTCTAAACTTGACCAAGGAAGAGTGGTTTTCATGAAAACCTTATGAGTCAAAATATTACTATAAATTGCCCAGTCTCTTCACAGCAGTAGCCCCATCCCATCATCACAGGAGTAAGGGAGCTGGAAAGGAGTTTCCTGCTGATGCTTTCTTGTCCAAAGGACTTATTTGTTTTTTTATTCTATGATTTTCAATACTACCAATAGATTGGACATCAGACTTCCAAGAAGCAAGCTGCCTGAGTGATGCACACCAAAACAGCTGATTCCTTTGGGCTAGGGCAAGGATGTCAATCTAAATCAATTAGCTGAAGCATTACATCAAGGAAAGTCTAAGATGTTTTTTCAAAGAGATCAAAAATTACAGAGGATTAGAGAATAGAGTAATGTGTGAGGAGTTTAATTTCTCTCATACACTGTAGTCCATAAGTGAACAGTACAGGTTGAGGGATGGTTCTGCTCTATGTGAGTTGTAGTATCTGGAGATAACAGTAGACAATGGGGGAAGGCAACAGATTTTAAAATCTTTCGCTCATCTATCATAAAGCTCTTTATGCTTTTTAATATGATTTCTCAATATACAGACATCGCTCACTAAATCTTAACTTTTTTGTTCTTTCCATCCCATTCTATATCGAGTATATTGAAGATGGCTAACTACTGATAATTTTATGAAGTAGCTAAAGAAAATTAAATGTGCCAATAATGCTTTACATTTTGCCATCATATAAAAAAAAAAAAGTAGCCTTACTTTTCTCTAGAATAGTCTCTAGACTTCTTATTGGCCTTGACTCATGGGTTTTATGCATATTTTTTAAAGGGGAATCACTGCACTCGTGTTTAACAGAATAGATCAACATCATTGCATTTAATTTTAAATATCTTGTACTAGATTAGCTCTTGAAAACTCTAGATTTTGGCCAGTTCAAAACTAAATCACCAATAGGTAAAGATACAGAATTTAAGAAACTAGGGAAAATAAATATTCAGCCAAGTAACCCCTTTAACATCCTTTCAAGATGGTCTTGAATCAACAGTCACCAAGAAAAAGTCTCTAACAGTTTGGAGGTTCCTCATAAAACTAAAAATAGAACTACCATATAATCCAGCAATCCCAGTACTGGGTATATAATATACCCAAACGAAAAGAAATCAGAATATAGAAGAAGTATCTGCACTCCCATGTTTATTGCAGCATTGTTCACAATAGCCAAGACTTGGAAACAACCTAAGTCTTCATCAGCAGATGAATGGATGAAGAAAATGTAGTACATATACACAATGGAGCACTATTCTGCCATAAACAAGAATGAGATCCTGTCATTTGCAACAACATGCATAGAACTGGAGGTCATTATGTTAAGCAAAATAAGCCAGGCACAGAAAGACAAACATTACATGTTCTCATTTATTTGTGGGATCTAAAAATCAAAACAATTGAACTCATGCAGATAGAGAATACAAGGGTGGTTACTAGAGGCTGGGAAGGGTAGTGGGGGGATGGGGGAAGTGGGGCTGGTTAATGGGTACCAAAAAATAAAAAGAATAAATGAGATCTAGTATTGAATAGCACAACAGGATAATTATAGTCGATAAAAATTTAATTGTACATTTAAAAATAACTAAAAGAGTGTAATAAAATTGTAGCACAAAGGATAAATGCTTGAGGGGATGGATACCCCATTTTCCATATGTGATTATTACACATTGCATGCCTGTACCAAAATATCTCATGTACCACATAAATACATACGCATCCTATGTACCCACAAATATTTAAAAAAATTTTTTGAAGAACAAGTCTCTAGAAGCTTGCTATGATTTTGTTGACTTTCAAGTTAAGTTGCTAAAAATATTTCTCCTGTATTTGTTTTGTTTGTTTGTTTCTTTGTTTTTGTTGCAGACAGAGTTTTCACTCTGTCATCCAGGCTAGAGTGCAGTGGGGTCATCTTGGCTCACAGCAAACTCCACTTCCTGGGTTAAAGTAATTCTTCTGCCCCAGCCTCCCAAGTAGCTGGGATTACAGGTGTATACCACCACACCTGGCTAATTTTTGTTTATTTGTATTGTATTGTATTGTTTTGTTTTGTTTTAGTAGAGATGGGGTTTTAGCATGTTGGCCAGGCTGGTCTCAAACTCCTGACCTCAGTGATCTGCCCACCTTGGCCTCCCAAAGTGTTAGGATTACGGGCATGAGCCACTGCACATGCTCTGTTGTTTTTTACTTCATAAATACTTGTGTGTTATCAAAAAACCATATTAGGCCCTCCTCTAACATTAATCTTCCAAAGCCATTAAGACTTCTCTTTTTCCTGGGCTTATGGGACTTATTTCAGATCTACTGAATAATTTGTATTATGATTAGATTGGATGGGTTTGTACTACTATTCCTTAGTGACAAAACCTTATGGAACATATTTTTCCACTAATTGCATGATCCCCAAATAGCCCAATGAATAAAGAATCATTAGTTGGTCGGGCATGGTGGCTCACGCCTGTAATTCCAAGACGAGACCGAGACGGGTGGGAGACTGAGACGGGTGGATCGCCTGAGGTCAGGAGTTTGAGACCAGCCTGGCCAACATGGTAAAACCCAGTCTCTACTAAAAATACAAAAATTAGCTGGGAGTGGTGGGGGGCGCCTGTAATTCCAGTACTTGGGAGGCTGGGCCAGGAGAATCGCCTGAACCCAGGAGGCAGAGGTTCGTGCCATTGCACTTCCAACTGGGCGACAAGAGTGAAACTCCGTCTCAAAAAAAAGAAAAGAAAAGAAAAGAAAAGAAAAGAAACATTAGTCATCTGGGCATTTTGTTTTCCCAGTACAAAACATCAGGTAAAGGGTTTCATCTGGAAAACTAAAATTTTCCCCACCTCTTACCTCGTAGGTGATGCCTTGTAGAAACAGCTTTGGATAGTAGATGGAATGAAACGTCAGACTGAAAGGATCATGCTAGTTTCCCTGAATTCTGGTCAAGGTCCCAAGATTGAAATGAGTTGTTCTTAGAGCTGTGGGAGTGGATATCTGAAATTACTCCTTTAAAAGCTGCAGGAGGCTTTGGGACTATGAATGGTAAAATGAAATGGTAAAATGTCAACTTGCAGAAAATTAAACGTTTCAAATCTTGACCTTGGAAAAGGTTGATTCCTGAGCAACTACAGGAGGGAAAATCACAGCCACAGTGGACTCAGGCAAAGAATGTCATCTAAACACAAAGCCTAAGAGCTCCCCCAAACAGTAGAATGCTGAAATAAGGAAAAAGCAGGACAAATAAGCCTTAACTCCAGCGCTACTGGATCCTAGTCACTTAAATTCTCTAAAAGCCATTGAGCCCATATAATATAGTGATTTAGCATCTGGGCTCTGGATAATCTAGGTTTCTAGTGCTGGTTCTATCATTTACCACTGTGTGAACTCAGGAAGCTCAACCGCTCTAAGCATCATCTGTAAAATGGGGCTAGCAATAGAACCTAACTCTCAGGATTGTTGTGAAGAGTCAATAAGTGAATATGTGTACACTTGGCACATAGTAAATGCTCAATAATCGAGCTCTTATTAGTACTCCCATGAGCTGCTGTGAGAACACTTGAGATAAAAGATGTGAGCATGCTGTGAAGAACACAAATGGCCACACAAATTCAAGGTGTTGCTGGTTTGTTTAGTTTTCCAGTAGACCTACCTTGGTAGCTCACCAGAGATCTGGATGAAATCACAAATGGTATTGAGAAAGATATGCCTTCTATAATCCTGGTAGTACCTGCAACTTGTGTTTCCAAAAGTTATTTCTTCTTTGCATGTGTCTGGTGAGGTGAACCTAATGCTGCTGGCAGCCATGCCCCTAGCCGGAATCATTGCCAATTATTTTAATAAAGCACAGATCCATTCCTCACCCTTGCAACTGAGAAATGCTGGAAAGGAGAGAGGAGTAAGAAAGTCATATTCCTTACTTCTTCCTTATTCTACCTTAGACCCTACCCCTCTTAGGTTCTCTGGCCAGTTGATTAGCTACAATTTAAGTCATTCCATAGATTTATGATGCCTGTTCTTACATAATCTAAATGATAGAACTGGCACTAAAAACCTAGACTGTCCTAGTCAGGAGTTACAAAGACCAGCTTTCTGCCTGTGCAGAGATTAAACCTAGTATTATATGGGGAATTGGACCATTAATTTGGGTGGTTTAATTTGAAACGAAGTGGATTCTGCTACTTGAGAAATATTCTTGGAAGGAAAAAAAAAAAAAAAAAACCCAAACATTCCACTCACTGTGAGAGTGTAGAACAGAGTAAAAGAATGGGCTTATAATTTGGGAGATGCTTTGAGTTTCTGCATGAAAGATGTTATCAGAATCCAAGAATTTTTGTTACTCAATAGCAATCCTATCAGAAGGCCAGCTTTTTCCCAAGGCCTGGTGGCATCAAGCAGCTTAGAGTCCAGAGAAAAGAGCATTACAAACAAGTTTTCTGGATGAAATGACACATGGAGTTATATAGAGTTTGCAAAATACATGATATTTTGAAAAGTACTCCTGAAGCTGAGCTCCAGCGTAAGAGAAGAAACCAACAATGAGTAAGATTCTATGGAAGGAATTCTGAAGAGTTGTGAGAATATTTTCCTTTTCTCTTAACATGGATGACCTTGTGTGTATATACTATTGCTGACTTCAGTAAACATTTATTGAGTGACCACTTAGTCAACAAAATAAATGTACTCTCCTATCTGTATCCCTGTAAAACACTCATCCTCTTGCAGTCTGTGGGGGAATCTCAGCAGAGGGGCATTTTCCTCAACTTAATCCTCAGAGAAAATCTGAAGCTGCCCTCATGTACTTTCTTGCCACAAGAAAGGCACTGTCTAGCAGCATACATCCCTCTTGGCCTGATGACTAAATCACAGCAAAAGTGGCCCATATCCTTCTATATTGCCTTCTCCTGCAATCCTCTAAAGGGGAAGAGATGATGGATAGGGAAATGTTGGGCTGTATGTAGGAAGAGATCTTTATTATGTTTTTTTTTTTTTTTTTTTTTTTTTTTTTTTTTTGAGACGGGGTCTCGCTCTGTCACCCAGGCTGGAGTGCAGTGGCCGGATCTCAGCTCACTGCAAGCTCCGCCTCCCGGGTTTACGCCATTCTCCTGCCTCAGCCTCCCAAGTAGCTGGGACTATAGGCGCCCGCCACCTCGCCCGGCTATTTTTTTTGTATTTTTTTTTTTAGTAGAGACGGGGTTTCACTGTGTTAGCCCTCAACTCCCCAGTACCATGTCACAGGTGAAGATGAGTAGGTAGACAAAAATCTGTTAATTGGAACATATCTGTACCTGTTTGCAAAGCATTAAGAAAAGTACATTTTGATCATGAATTGCAATAATTAGCAGCAAGCATTACACTCATTGTTAATGTTACCTCTGTTCTAGGCAGAGGTCAACATTGCCTCATGAATGAGTGACTCAGCATTACAAAATAGTGAAGTGTCTCCTCTGCAGTTAAATTTGGCCTTCTCTGAAGTAATGAAAACAAAGTCCCCAGTAGGAAAGTAAGGTTGGAGAATAATTTGGCAGGATATCGTAGCGATTACCACTCTTTCATAATCCTTGTGGTGGAAACTGCTAATTGTCGACCAAAATCTTCTCTGCGTTTCTTCTGGGCATATGCCACATGCCACCCTAAGACTGCATTTTCCTAACTCCTTTGAGACTAGGTAGAGTCAAGTGACTATATTCTCAAAAATGGAATGTGAATACAGTACAACTCCTGTATCCTTTGCTTAAAATGAAACTGATGCTCTGAATCTGGTTTCTCTTCCACCCTGATATATCCAGGATTCATTTTTGACCACACAGATGAGGACAGGGCTCCTTCTGGGGAGTTGCCAGGGTAACAAAATGAGAGAAACAAGAGTGCTTGAATGTCCGTGTAAATTCAAGCCACCCCTGAACCTGCTGTGCTCACTTAAGGACTGTAATTCAGGAGGGAAATACATTTCTCATGCATTGGATTATTCTCTAATTCTCTCTATTTTTGAACCTCTTTGAGAAAGCGTCTTTGACTTTACCCTGATGCAATATATTTTTATGTAATACAGTCATGCCCTGAAGAACAACTTATCGCTCAGTGATGGATCACATAAACTATGATAGTCCTGTAACATTATAATGGAGCTGAAAAATTCCTATTGCCTAGTGACATTGTAACCATCATAATGTTGTAGTGCAACACATTGCTCACGGGTTTATGGTGATGCTTTGTAAACAAACTTACTGTGCTGCCAGTCACATAAAGGTAGAACACAGGCCGCGCACAGTGGCTCACACCTGTAATCCCAGCACTTTGGGAGGCCAAGAAGGGTGAATCATGAGGTCAGAAGTTTGAGACCAGCCTGGCCAACAGAGTGAAACCCCATCTCTACTAAAAAATACAAAAAAAGTAGCCAGGCATGGTGGTGGCATCTGTAATCCCAGCTACTCGGGAGGCTGAGGCAGGAGAATGAATCACTTGAACCTGGGAGGCGGGAGTTGCAGTGAGCCAAGATGGCGCCATTGAACCCCAGCCTGGGTGACAGAGCAAGACTCCATCTCAAAAACAAACAAACAAAAAAGGTATAACTAAAATTATGTGCAGTACATAATATTTGATAATAATAAATGAATGTTACTGGCTTATGTATTTACTATACTTTTTATTGTTATTTTAGAGTGTACTCTTTCTACTTACATTAAAAAGTTAACAGTAAAACAGTCTCAGGCAGGTCCTTCAGAAGGTATTCTGGAAGAGGGCATTGATATTATAGGGGATGACAGCTCCATGCGTGTTACTGCCTCTGAAGACCTTCCAGTGGTATAAGATGGGGAGAGAGAAGACAGTGAGATTGATGATCCTGACCCTTTGTGAGCTTAAGATAATGTGTGTTTGTGGTCTTTGTTTTTAACAAAACAATTTAAAAGTTAAAAAATATTGTTAACTAGAAAAAGTTTACACAATAATGTATACGAAGAACAAAATATTTTTGTATAGCTATACATGTTTGTGTTTTCAGCTAAGTGTTATTACAAAAAAGTAAAAAAAAAAATAAATAAAAGTTTATAAAATTAAAGTCTATGAAGCTACAGTAGGCTATGGTTATTATTGAAGAAAAAAATTAAAACTAAATTAACTGTAGCCTAAATGTGCAGTGTTTATAAACTCTCACCACTCACTCACTCGCTGACTCACCCAGAGTGGCTTCCAGCCTGGCAAGCTTCATTCATAGTCAGTGCCCTATTCAGGTGTACTGAAGACCAGAGATTTTCACCTCAAAATATGGCACCCTGGTATGCTGATTATTTTAAATTAAAAGCCACTGGAGACTGGCAGGCACTGGGAAAAGCTTTACTCTGATACTCCCTTATCTGCCTAAAGTCCAGATCCACTAAAGAAGAAAACAATTAACTGTGTTTCCTTCCCTGAGTTCTCATTAACTTAGCTCATGCTGCAGGAAGAAAGACTAAAGTCTGTCAACACATCTGGACAGACATTTTTCACAATCCATGGTCTGCTCTCCAAGCCCGACAGACTTTGCCCCAGACCATTGTATGTTCTCCAAGTCTATTCACTTCCCCCTAAAAATCATTTATAATCCCTCAATTACTACATTTCCCCCATCTCTTCCTCCTTATGAAGAAGTTTATATAAAGATCTGAATCTTCTTGGGTTATTGGATAATCATTCTCATGCAATTCCCCTGTACTATGCACATTAGAATACATTTGTATGCCCTTTTCTCATAGGAATCTGCCTTTTGTCAGCTGATTTTCAGCGAAACTTCAGAGGGCAGAAAGCTTTCCCTTTGCCTCTACAGTACTATTTTTTTTAAACTCTTATACCATATTTTTACTGTACCTTTTTAATGTAGAGATATGTTTAAATATACAAATACTTACCATTGCTTTATGATTGCTTATAGTATTCAGTACAGTAATATGCTGCACAGGTTTATAGCCTAGGAGCCACAGCCCAAGCAATATAGACTAGGTGTGTAGCAGGCTATATCATCTAGTTCTGTGCCAGTATACTCTGTGATGTCCACACAATGATGAAGTAGCCTAATGATGCACTTCTCAGAAAGTATCCCTGTCAATAGGTGACACATGACTATGTATCAGTCCACGTACTATAATTATATATATATATACACACACATTCATTTTATATAACTGTATCACGAATTTCCACACACAGTGCCATAAAACAAGACAAACTGGTTATCTCCTGTGTTCTTTTTTTTTTTTTTTTTTTTTTTGAGACGGAGTCTCGCTCTGTCGCCCAGGCTGGAGTGCAGTGGCCGGATCTCAGCTCACTGCAAGCTCCGCCTCCCGGGTTCGCGCCATTCTCCCGCCTCAGCCTCCCGAGTAGCTGGGACTACAGGCGTCCGCCACATCGCCCGGCTAGTTTTTTGTATTTTTTTTAGTAGAGACGGGGTTTCATCGTGTTAGCCAGGATGGTCTCGATCTCCTGACCTCGTGATCCACCCGTCTCGGCCTCCCAAAGTGCTGGGATTACAGGCTTGAGCCACCGCGCCCGGCTGTAGATCAAACTCAGGTGGATTCTCTGCTCAGGGTCTCTCCAGGCTGAAATTAAGGTGTCGACTATGTCATTTAAGGTTCAGGTCCTCTGACAAGCTCTCATGTTGTTAGCACATAACGTCCTTCCTGCTACAGACTGAGACAAGTTACCTATTTTCTTGCTAGCTGTAGGCCAGCAACCACTCTGGGTTCCTGGTGGCTGAATTCAGTTCTTTGTCAAGTGGCCACCGTAAGTAATTCACAACATAGTACTACTTCTTTCAAGCCAATAGGAGCACATCTCTGGCTTTTTTTTCTCTGTAAATATCTGGAGATATTATTAGACCCACCTGATTAGGTCAGGCCCTCTGTGAATAATCTTTCACTTGCCATATTAGGTAATATAATCACAGGAGAGATCTACTGTCATATTCACAAGTTCTGCAAACGCTCAGGGGAGAAGATTATACAAGGCTTGTACATGAGGGAGTGGGATTCCTGGGGTCATTTTAGAATTCCGATACCACAATCATATGTTAATACACATATGTGATATTAACACACGTGATACATAATATAATAGCGCAACAATGATGACTTATTACTGAGTGCTTACTATGTGGTAGGAACCCACAAACCATTTTATCTGCATTTTACGATTTAATCCTCATGACAAATCTATGAGAGATAATCATAGTTCCTATTTCACAGAAGACAGGGGTAACTGAGGCTTAGTAAAGTTATTTGGCCAAAGTCATATAACAAGTAAGTGGCAGAATCTTGATTATATCCAAGTCTGTTTCTAGGCAGCAAGGACTTTTGAGTTGGACATACTTGTTGTCCATGCCCCTACTGTCCTGTACTTCTTTACAGCACTTGTCACAATCCTAATTAAATAATAATTCTGAA